CATGGGGTTCCACAGATTTTACAACCGGGTCGCACTACAGCTATGGTACTTGTAGGGTTAACATACATACTTTCAACCTTTTATGCAAGGGCGTCCATCTTAGCTTTCATCATGTCTAGGAAACTGACTTCATATATACCTCATTTGGGCTCCTTTTTCTCCACTTATGTTTGTTTTGTCCCTCATTGGTAATGGTTTTGTGCCATATCTTCAATGAGAGTGCAAGCTTCGGGGTAAGGTTTGTTCATCAGTGCACCACCGACGACAGCGTAAATGGTCATTTTTCTGTTATAGATAAGTCCATTATAAAAGGTGTGGATAACCAACCATTATTGTAAACCATGGTGTGTACATGCTCTTAATAATTCTTCATATCTTTCCCAAGCATTGGAAAGAGATTCGTCGTCTTGCTGGGTAAATCTAGTTATTTGGTTTCGTTGGACAACGATCTTACTTGGTGGAAAATATCTAGCAAGGAAAACTTTCTTTAGATTATTCCATATGGTTATTTAATTGGGTGTAAGGGAGTCTAACCATGATCGAGCTATATCTCTGAGGGAAAAATGAAATAGTCTTAGACGTATTGCCTCAGGAGGACAACAATTGGATTTTAATGTATCTTCTAATTGGATAAAAACTTTTAGATGTTGGTTCGGGTTCTCAGTAGGCAGACCAACGAACTGGTTTTGTTGCACTAATTATAATAGAGCGGATTTCAACTCAAAGTTATTAGCTTCGATAGTTGGGTTTACTATACTTGAATGGGGTTCTTCATTAGAAAGTAAGGCGAAGTCCTTAAGAGGTTTTTGGTTTTCTTCTTCGGCCATAGCTCTTCTAATCTTTTAAAGTAAAAGACGTGCGCATGCGTATCTTTTGGGTTCTTCTATTGGATCTACTAAGTTTTCGGTACTGCGAGATCTTCGCATTTACCAGTAAACATAAAAAGGAAAATTCCTAAACTATTCTTACAGTGTTCTATTTTAGGTTAATCAAACAGAGTTGCAAAGTGCATAGAAAGTAATGAAGATAAAATAAATTTAGAGAAACAATGCTGAAATGTGATTCACATCGACCAAATAATACTCCTATTGTATCTAAATATAATTACTTATGGAGAAATATTTTCTTCCTTGAAAAAGAGTTAATTAAAAAGGAAATGTCGCGTTAGCGTAATCAGAACTAGATTTGACCTCTAATCTATACCCGCCGCTCACGCTGTACCGGCCGCATCTTGCGTTAAAGTGAAAAATCCTTTTCTTATGTAACTACCTCTAAGACTCAGTTAAAAAGTACTTTTGACTGGAAACTTTTAACACCAAAGGATTTCTGACATATGCTTGGCCAGCCGGATCTTAAACCTATGAATGCGTCCGAAAATAGTTTTAAAATCACTTTCTAATAATATTAAACTTCCCTAATTGACTAACAAAGTGGTTTCGCTGTTTTTATTAATAAAAAACTAACCAATTTTCATCTTAAGTGTCAGACGGCTTTCAATCTTACCCGACGTAATCACAGATCTACTTTCGTATATCCGATAAGATAAACCACAAAAAAAATTGTATTAAAACCAAAACAGCCCCTAAAGCATTCCTACAGACACAACATACAGAGTATCATCAAAACGACGATCCTCACATTCTAGCACTTAAGGATTTAGCTGGGCATGACTACGGTAAACAACATAGCAGATAATTGATTATCAGAATAAGTCATTTAGGGAAAAAAATGTGTTAAGTGTGCAATTGGTTTTGGAAAAGCAACGACAAGAACAACAGAATAAAGTAAACGTGTGAGACAATAAAGAAATTAAAATAAAACGATTAAATAAAGGCAGTGCGGGAAATAAATCAAACGCAATGCGGGAAATAAACGAAAGTAAATGCAATGCGAGATAAATAAATAGTAAAAATTGGGAATGAATTAAAAACCTGCTCCAAATCGGAGACTTGAATCTGGTACAAGCTTGGTAAAGAAAATAATGGCAAGCTTCTACTCTACGATTGCTCCACACTCGCTCACAACAATGGTGCGATAATCCCTCAATGTGACGAATTATTGCTTTTACAAAGTGAATATATGTCTATGCTGCGATTAAGAGTTGATGCCTAAAAAACATAACAAACTAGGTCCTATTTATAGTGCAACATTGCCTTGGACACCAAGTTGAGCCTTCATAATTCGTGGGAGAGAAATCCTTTGGTCATGGCTTCAACCTTTCAACTGCCCTTGACTGACTTCATCTTTGTGAAGATGGCGCCCGCCACCAAGGCCTGGCATCTCTATGTGTGTAAATAGTGGTGGACGTGGTCTTCTAGCCATTTGGTCGTGGGAGAAACCCTCCACCTCATGGCTACCCTCATGGCTACCCCCATGGCCAACACCATGTGTGTAATTAACCCTAAAATCTCTGTTTTTCGCCTGTTTTGCTTCGTTTCTTCGTGAAAGGCTCTTATTGGGCAATGTACCTAAAAATAAAACAAAACACAAACATAATGCAAGAAAATAACAATTAAATGATAATAAACATGTGTAATCCGAGTCAAGTACGCAATGTATTTCAGTGTTATCATACCTCGTGATGGATACAAGAGACAAAGAACTTCATCCTTGAGCTAAGAACGGTAAGTCACAAGGGGAAAATATCGCGTTGTAAACAAGCAACGAATTACCTCTCATTTAAAAAAAATAAATTGGAAGACCAGAAACAAAATGATATATATAAAAGAGGAAACAACAAGAACGTTTCATTCATTAACAATATTCTTACATTAAAACAAAACAAAAATGGCCCGAGAGAACCATCAAGCACGCACAAAATATATATTTATGACCTAAGAGGTCAGTTTTTCACCAAGAAAAACCACTTTTATATCCATTATTTCCTATTCTAGATGAATACGCTCCTTAGATATTTTCATTATGGAATGGAAGCACTATACATGCTTCAAGATGTTCTCAAAGGCCACTAGCATAATGGAATAACTAAACTCTACAACTGTTGCATATTATTTGGTACTGTGGACCTTTTTGAACTGGAGTTTCCACAACCACTCCTAAACTTCTTTCAAACTATTTCTTGCTTAATTAGAGCTTTTTTCAACTCCTCTACCTTCCTATGGGAAGAATCAAATGTCTTGTTTACATTGATCAAAGCAGTCTCCAATTTAAATAACGTATTTTAGGTGGAAATAATTGTTCTCTCTCTCTCTCTCTCTCTCTCTCTCTCTCTCTCTCTCTCTCTCTCTCTCTCTATATATATATATATATATATATATATATATATATATATATATATATATATATATATATATATATATATATATATATATATATATATATATATATATATATATATATATATATATATATATATATATATATATATATATATATATATATATATATATATATATATATATATATATATATATATATATATATATATATATGCACACGCATTTCTAAAGTCAACTCCTTGCACCTTGTCACCCATTTCTCTCAAAAGCTTAGCCAACTCAAAGGGCTCATGAAAAAATTTGTACCATTCAATAGCAAACGCATGAATGTGTTCTTTGATGATTTTCTTCTCCTTTTGAAGAATTTCAGACTCTAGAACTTCACTCATCTTTATGGATTCAAAAGAAAGTACAATAGCAGCCTTGTGCATTTAGTATGTCATTTATGCCATATCTTCTCGACGAATAGTATCTGCTTTACCCATAAAATATGCGTAATCTTCTTCAGAAATGTAAGTCCGGAGCTCCTTAGCCATCCTAAGATTGATATGGGCAAGAAATGACAGAAATAAAATTATATGGGAGGCCGATAAATTCCCTTCACGATCCAGATATCTCAAACATGATGCCGCATTTTGAAGATATATTTCTCTCGCTCACATTTCTCAAAGTTGCCTAATTTATTTGATCTAAAACTTGTCTCGAATGAGTAGGGTCGACTCAATCAATTAAAGGACTTTGTTATAATTTAAAAAATAGGCCTAAAAATATAAATTCATACTAAAATTAAAAAAGATATATAAAATCATAGATTTTAAAAATATATGATTTTTTTGCCACTTTTTAAAAAACAAATGTAAAACTAGATTTTAAAAACGAAAATCAAGGTGAAATATATATATTTTTTTATAATTCAAAAAGCGGACCCTCTAAAATTTGACACCTAATAATATGGCACAGGATGCACCCCACGGCCCTGCAAATGAGGTTACACAATACTTACTTATAACACTAATTCTCCTAAGCCAAACAATAAACAATGAATGACACCACTTTCTAGGCTTACATGGATTATTACATTTTATTTTCAAAAAATAAGTTCAAGGAATCAAACATCAACTATTTCTAAATTACAACTATTACAATTCTTGGCTTTCTTTGTTTTTCTAATAGTTTATCTCATTCTATTTATTTTGAAAATTAGCATCAATTTTTCTTTCACTCTTTTATTTTAAAAACAAATTATCTCATTCTATTTATTTCAAAAACAATCCATCTATCAGAGAAATTGATCTGTTCTTGCGTAAACATTCTAAAATATATATAAAAAAATAAAAATATTTGGACAATAAAGGGTTTTTGAAATGTTTGGGGGGAAGGATTTAGCCGATGAAAATGTATTTCATTCTCTCAACTTGTAGTCTTGATAGATAAAAGTTGGAAGTTGGGCCCCTCTATCTCACAATCCCACATGAAATTCGCTAGACTTTTTCAGCTTTTGAAGATTCAATTCAACCGTACATTTCTTCACTATCACAAAATTTTGCTTATATATAAACAAATAAATAAAATCCAATAACTGAAATACTGAACCCTGTCCTTTCCTCTTTTGTCCTTTCAAAAAAACCTTCACTTATTTAACTTCTCTCCTTTCTCTTCAAGAAAACCCCAAAACCATTCACTCACATCCCAATTTTCAAATCTTAAAAAAAAAAAAACAGCATCTTCACTTGTTATCATTAAACCAAACAATTATTACCCATGATGTTACCAAACCCAACACCCACCGTCCCCGACGCCGTCGCTCGCTACCACACCCACGCTGTCTCTCCAAACCAGTGTTGCTCCGCCGTCATCCAAGAAATCGCCGCTCCCGTTTCCACCGTCTGGTCCGTCGTCCGTCGCTTCGATAATCCTCAAGCTTACAAACACTTCGTCAAAAGCTGTCACGTCATCCTCGGCGACGGTGACGTCGGCACCCTCCGTGAAGTCCGTGTCATCTCCGGTCTCCCCGCCGCCGTCAGCACCGAACGACTTGAAGTCCTCGACGACGAACGCCACGTCATCAGTTTCAGTATGATCGGCGGAGATCACCGTCTCGCTAACTACCGTTCTGTCACCACTCTTCACCCTAGTCCGATCTCGGACACCGACGGTAACCACCGCACAGGCACCGTTGTTGTTGAGTCTTACGTCGTTGACGTGCCGCCGGGAAACACCACTGATGATACCTGTATCTTTGTTGATACCATCCTTCGGTGCAATCTTCAATCTCTCGCGAAATTCGCCGAGAATTTGGCCTCAACGAGATCAAATCAACGATAATTTTTTTTGTTTAACTTGTCATCTTTTATCATTTTTTACTTGTAATAATGTTAGTAATTAAGTTGTTGTATATTTTTATTTTTAATTAATGGTAGGTTATGCGAGTTTAATGTTGTGTTGTAACTTTGGGTAGAGTGATGATTGATGTGAATGATAAAGTTTCTATGACATGAAATGTTGAGAGCTTTTGAATTTTGAGTTTTCCATAAGTTAAGGCAAATGTGACGATGACATGATTTTGAATGCAACTTGCGGTATGGGGGTTGGGTTTGTGTTTCTACTTTCACTTTCTATTTTCTCTTTCATAAAAATCGATCTAGTGTTTTGATAAATGATAAACTAGTTTAAGTGATACTTGTGCAAAAGAATGATAAGCAGGAGCACGAGTTCTAACACGTGACCTAATACTTTCACTTTCATGCAAGCGGCATCATTATTGTTGACAACAAGTTGGGCTACTAGACATTAATTAGAATGAGAAAATATTTAGTCAAAAAAAATGAAGAAAGAAATATATGGAATTAGCTGTATTAGGCTGTAACATGACTTTGTTTAGGGTTTTGAAAGAATGTATTTTTCTCATGCTGAGTTCGAAACCATCGATGACACAATAAAATTATAATTTACGCAAAGAGAGAAAAAGACATGCAAGTTGCAGCATATATAATAATAATGATAGTAGTATATTTTGGTGTTGTTGAGCCACACAGGTTTTATTTAATTGAGAGTATGAGAAAAAGAAGAAAAGAAATGTCGTTGAGCATGGGTTTGTTTGAATAAATCAGTGGTACGTCGTCGTCAGTTTGTGCAAGTTGATGAGCAAGTAGGAGGGAGATAAGTTAAACTTAGTTATATAACAAGAGAGAGAGAGAGAGAGAGAGAGAGAGAGAGAGAGAAATGCTGTTCATGAATCATGATCCTCGTGCAGTGTAGTTTCTTGTTTCTACCCCACCATTTTTTCGTTGACTTGGAGAACTTTTAAAATGGATAAATACTTAACAATTTTGATAATTAGATTTGGATGTGTTTTTCAAATAATTAGTTAGATAATGACTAAATATTTTTGATATAATACAATTTAAAATATATTTAAATTTAAATTTAAATTTAAAAATTTTGTAATTATAAAATGTTTTTTTTTGTGAGAATAAATGGTCAAGTCCATGATTATTCATTGTTGTCCTTCTTCATTATATCTCTTTCTCATACAAATCGTACATTTTTATAGAACAAGAAGCATAAATTTGAAAACCTATGTTACTCCTTAGTCCTATTTTAACTAGGCATCTGCACAACAATTTGTTTCTCTACAAATAGTATTGATCTATAATCTCCAATTTTCTTCAGCTTATAATAGATTTGACGAACAAGAATCAATCCACTTTACTTCCTTTGATGTACCTTTATGATTTTGTCTCGAGCTTGTGCCGAATTCGTTTGAATGATCAAATCCATTCCACAGTTGTCGTAAACATTGAACAATTTGACCCCTTCAAGGATGCCTCATAACTCAGCAACCAACACTGAACAACGCCGTATCAATTTCAAAAATCCTCTGATCCATTTTTCATTATTGTCTCTTATCGCTCTCCCATAATCTACTTCTTGTTCATTCATCACAACTCCATCTGTATTATGTGCCCACCAGTTCTCCTTCGACGATGTCCAACGATGGTCTCTGACAACTCTGCTTCGTGTCATTATTTTCTGATTCAACTGCATACTCTTTTCATAATGTTGGACACTGATGTTGGTTTATTGACTCAAGTCTATTGGCATTATATAATTCTTCACAAATAGTTTGTGATTCCTCTAATACAATATTACATGGCACGAAATAGCCATAAACGCTTGACAGTTGTTACTGTCCTTGTTATGAAATTGTGAATGTAAGTTGAGATTCAACCATTCTCACGTATTAGCAACAAAGAAAATTTCCCAGTATTTTATATCCACACTAGTTAACCAGATCTTCCTACTGGATGGATCAACAATATTCCTTCGAGCAAATGACTTCTTTAGTTTGTAAACCATCATGATGCATCATCTAGATAAGAAATCTAACTTGTTATGGTAGTTGTATACGCTAGATACTTTTCCAATCAACATAGTTTGAATCATGCTCAGTACCAGTTGTTGCGGCGCGAAAAATGTCTGAGCGCATCGCACGCTCGAAATACAATAGATTCACCACCGAACTTTACTTATTCCAAAAGAAAAGAGAAAATATCGATAAAATCTACAAAAGAAAAAAGAAATGATCTTTGCAACCAAGAGCGAGTTCGGGAGTCAGTTATGCAAGAAAAAAATATCAGCATCTCTCACATCAGTTGTAGTCAACAAGATCCATTTGGTTAGTTATGAGAATGAATGTTAGTGTGATATTAGTTTCAAGCTTTTCAAAGAGTACAAAAACACAATTTTATCATGCTTGAGCAAGGAGTTTCGAAGACATGAAGTTGGGCTCCCAAAGCTGAATTACAAGTCATCTTCATGGAAAGTTCATGACCAAATCCAAGCCAAACCTATGTGATCTTGCTTTGCATGCCTTGTTGCTTATAAATCACACCATGATATGAAGATTACACAAGTTCTTGGTGTATTACACAAAGAATTCAAGTTTTTTCCATGTCTTGACACCATGTATGGAATGCTTTGCATAAAGTGGCATGACCATTCTTGTAAAGGTAACTTTTGCCAAACCACTTATGAATTGAGCCTCTAAATGGTTCCATCTAATCATACATAGCTCCTAATGCTCAGAAGCAATATTTAAACATAAGAAAAAACACAGTCATATCCCCTAATTCACTCAAACTTTTCATTATGATCAATGGTACCTTCTTGTTGCAAAAAGAAACCAACCATCCAAACTAGAGTTTCTTTTGGACCAAACTAGATTTCTGTGAGTCCCATGAGTCCCCTATAAATATACGATCACACATCAAAACAAAAAAACAAGAAAACATCAACACACCAAGCATTAAACCAGAACTTGCATCAAAGCACATTACACCAAAAACACCTTTTCTACAAACTTGCCCAAAACATTCCATAGCAAGAAAACCATCAAACTATCCATCCACACACACTATAAAACACATAAGAAAGGTGTTCAAATCATTATCTTCATAAAAAACCCTCAAAATCAAAAAGTCAACTCTCAACACTCATTATGTTAACTTTCCGCACAAAGCACCTCAACTTTTCATATAGTCATTTTCCAATCCATCTAATCCTTCAAACATCATCCATAAACATTGCCTAAACTGTTCCAAGTGTTATATTGCAACTATAACATCATTTCCTTGAAGTTCAAGTTCACATTTTTCACTTTAGCAAGAGGATTTGAGTTGAACTGTTGGAACTGTTTCAATATAAAGTGAGCATTCCAAAAGCATATGAGGGGATCATAGAAGCTTCTTGGATCAAAAAACAACTTCTGTAATCAGTGAAGGAGGCATTGGACCTTCCTCCAATAGGTAAGTACACCCTAACTCGAAAGAATGTGATCCTGATGTCATCTTCATGCATTTGAAGTATTAACTTGTTTGCCATGATATGAATGTAATTTGCTCTTTATCAATTGCTTGGAATCTGTTTTATATGTGATTTCATTGTGGATTTCTACATTAGGTTTCATATTGTTAATGGATTGATTATTTATTGTGTGATGAAAATTAATGTGAATAATTAATGACATTGTGTTCCTCATGAAAAATCAAACAACTTTCATTTTTACATCACTGCATTTCATTGAGTTTTGAAGAACTTAGCATTTTTAAGTTTTCAAAAATGGTGGCTGATGATGATGTAGAAGATGGCGTGAATTTTTACTTTTTAAAAATTGTCTTAATATTTATTGTTATGTTTCCATGTTACATGCTGAATAGGCATTGTGCCATGGTGGTTGTTGTGTGTTATTTGAGTGTTCTTGCATGCGTGAGGGTGGGGTTCGAATCCCCCTCGCCCCAACCCTTTTTGATGTTTTTATTTTTATGATTATCATGTTAACTTAAAATATAATGTAATTATTGTGATATCATGTCAACCTGAGTCACATGGTCTGGTGGTAATGTTTTTAGCTGTTGGCCAGGGTGTGCGTGTTCAAGTCTATGGGCCAGCAAAACTCATCTTTTTTTATCACTTGTCATCCTTATGTTTTTTTCCCATTTTCATTCAATCATATCTCTTGCTCCATTTATTATTTTGAGCCAATTTTTTGCACACCTCTTATTTATTATGTGTATTTTGTGAATATGTGAAAAAATTCCAAAAAAATATTATTTTTTACCCATCTTCACTATGTTGAAAACATGTCCCTTTTTATGTAGTTTTAAAGACTTTTCATGTTTATTTTGAATTGTTTCCTTAACCAAATGACTCATAAATGTTTGTGTTGTCATGGTATGTCTTGTATCATGTTTTAAATATGGCTTTGTTTCTCATCTTGATAAAATGTTCTATATTGTCACCATGTTCAAGTTTTCTTTCATAAGCCTTCATTTGTCAAAGTATGTTTATTTCCCCTAGGATTTAGGATTTATCTTGTGCTTGCCATGACTTCATTTCTCATCTTGTATACATGTTGATTCTCTTTTAGGGTTAAGTATTGTCTTCACTTGTTTACTTATGATCCTTGTGATCTTTGTTTATGTTTGTATGCCATGAATTATGTCTTGTGATGTTCATTTTTGTTTTCAAGTGTATCCTTCATAAACTTCCACATGTTAACACTACTAGAAATGTTGTATTTAGCCTTGGCCATTTTCCGACACTATAAGGCAAAAAACCGCCGCTACTAGCCAATTAGCCTCGGCGTAGTGTCGGTGTCGGGATAGGCTAAAACGATCGAAGCTAACATTTAGCTTCGGCAAAAAAGAGTCGTGTCTACAGTGGCCTCGGTCTAGCCGTGTCTACTTTAGCCTCGGTTTAGCCGTGTCTACATTAGCCTCGGTGAAGCCGTGTCAAAAAACAAAAAATAGCATGGGCCTGACCGAGGCTAAAGTCAAACTCTATAAGCTCACATAATAGTTAGCCTTGGTTCTGGTCGAGGCTAAAGGAACATTTTGCCTCGACTTTTTCGAGGCTAAGTTCAAAATTTATAAGTCAACAAAATATTTAACTTTGGCCTAACCAAGGCTAAAGTCAAATTGTAAAAGTCAACAAAATTATGCTTGCTTTCCAATTGTATAATCTATATATGCTGACCATGTTTTCCAATAATGACAATTATGTCATGTCGTGTTCTCCTTCAATCAATTTATCAAGATCATAAATAATTTATCAAAACATATAACATATATGAAGTAAGAGTTATCAAAATATTACATAGATTGAAACAACAACAACAAAAGTAGTCATAGCTACAACAAAAAACAACCCCAAAAACTCGGAATACATTAAAAATCATGTCCAAAAAAATTTACATCCGAGACTACTTCTACTAACACTGCATGATCAATCTTCACTTAATGATTGGTCATCTAAATCATCATCATAGTAAGGATTTGACGATCGAATGACAACACTAGCAAATTGATCATTTGTAGGGTCAAGCTTCTGCATGATAAATGCCTTCAAAGCTCATTCCAATAAGTTTCAAGCTCATTCCAGACATCCTCACCAATCCATGAAGGACGGGTCCCTTTTAACCTCACCTTCCTCATTATGTCATTTAGTCGAATGGCTTCCTTTGAATAAAAGGCTTTCCTGACAAACATCTCATATTGAGGATCCCATGAAACCTTGTCCTGAAAATGATTAAAATAGTATAAACATCCTAGGCATTGTAATGTTAGTTCTGTTCGGTTTGTCAGCATCTATCCATAAGGAAACTGAGTTTGTCAACTCAGATTTGGTGGCTATCAGTCTTAGTTTCATTCTCCGTAACAAAAGTTGCTTAAATATATAATTAAGTAAGGTTACATTGTTGCATCATCCATAAAAGGATAACCTAAACACTAACTGATGAGTTTATTGTAGTTTTTGATACAAAGTCGCTACCGAAAGTTGAACTGCAACAGTAGCCAGTGAAGTTTGAGTTAGTTTTATCAATGTTTTCTAAAACAAAAAACTTTTGTTTGGTAGTAGTGTTTTCTGCTCCGGCGGTAGTCGATGTTCGGGTGATTGATCTAGTCGTTGTTGTGTCGATCTTGGGTTGTTTCTTGTAATTTTAGGTGTTGTTTTATTTCTTTTTTCATGCTCTGTTTCATTTCCGAAGCTTGGTAATTCACATTTCAACATTCAACACAACTAACACCATACTTAGATTACTTTCCAAATTCACATATTACATTCCAAATTAACTAACACATTATCACCAACTAGCATTTAACTGATCCAATAACATAACAGGTTTTAAGCTTTCACTGACCTCATGACTATAACTGGTTTTTAACTATCATCATAGCCTAACCAAAGCAATCCTAACTTTTAAATAAGTCATAATAGGAAATGCAACACAAAATTAACCTAACTGAATTGACTCGTTTCGTTTAACAGAATTCTAAGACCAAATTGAATCAACTAATTCACCCTTCAGCTATGATTCAAGCAAGCTAACAACTTAACAGGATTTTCAGTTTCATATTACAGCAAAGGTGGTGCAAACATGTTAAACGCTGGTTAGAGTAAAGGAACTGTGTTAGGTGCTAAGATAATTGGAACTTTTGTTCTTGTTTACACCGTTTTCTCTCCCACCGATCCAAAGAGAAATGCTAGAGACTCTCATGTTCCAGTACGTTACGTAAAGTGCAATTTAATCTTCTGTTTTTTTTTCGTTTTGTTTTGAATAATTAAAGTGCTATATTTGTGTAGGTTTTGGCAACGCATCCAATTGGTTTTGCTGTGTTTATGGTTCATCTTGCTACTATTCCAATCATTGGAACTGGTATCAACCCTGCTAGAAGCTTTGGAGCTGCTGTTATTTACAACAATGAGAAAGCTTGGGATGATCAAGTATGCATTAGTTTATATAATAAATAATTACTAATACTATTTCTAGCTAGTTTTATAGTTCTATAAGTTCTAAGTATGTTTGTTTGTGTGTAGTTGATCTTCTGGGTTGGACCCTTTATTGGTGCTGCCATTGCTGCAATTTACCATCAGTTTGTGTTGAGAGCTCAAGAAGCAAAGGTTTTGGGTGGGAGAGACCAAGCTCTCTAATTCTTGGAGGGAGAGACCAAGGCTCTCAAATTTCTAGGATTAGTTTATGTATGTATTATGTATTCTCTATAGTTTTTGTAATTATGTGTCTAACATATTCTATCATAAATAAAAGTCAATTTCTACCATTAATTTGTCTTTTGGTACCGATTTCTATCAGAGTGCTTACAAAATAGAAGGTAACATGTGTTTTTGTCCTTAATGCTGATGCTTTTAGACAAAATTCAATAAATACTTACCGCAAAAAGAGCAAACCATTTTTCTTTGACATCATCAGAAACTGTTGTTCAATTATAGAAACCCCTATAAAATTGTTTATGTATCGCATAATTAATGGCATTTGCTACTTCTTTGTCCGGAACAAGCCTACAATATTGAATGAAACCAATGATGTCATATGATATAATGTTGAAACCAATGATAATGTTGAAGCCTGTTACAATATTGAATAAATATTTAAACTTACCCGCTGCCACAAGTTTGTATAATAACCTTCCCATTATCATCCCTTATTATCAAATGAGGGGGAACATTACCTTCACCTACGACCACCTCATCCGCGTCCTCATCCTCAATTTCCTCTTCATTTTCCTCCATCGGAATCTCACATGAGGCATTATCTAGAGGGACAACCACATTTTAAATGTTTAAACCCGGAGTAGGCATAAACTTAAATACCTCAGAGGTAGAGGCATGATTAGGTGTAGATGACAATGTAGTCTGCAATGGTGGTATAGCCTGCGGCACAGGCACAATCCGCAAAATGGGTGTTGTCCGCGGGACCGCTGCAGCCCGCACTGGCAATGGATTCAGAGCAGGTGATAAAGTCGAAGCAACCGAGGGAGTCGGAGCCAACGATGGAGTCGGAGCCGACGATGGAGTCCAAGTTGGTGGAGTCGGTGTTGTAGTAGCTTGTGATGACTGAACAAATGTAGATTTCTTTCGAAACATGCTATTCCGATTATCAATAAGCTTTCCAGGTGCTAAGCACTTAGATTTTCCTTTTTTTGGATTTTCCTTTCCTCTCTCACCTCCACTTCTGTTAGTCATCTGTTGTCATAAAATACAAAAAAAAATTAGACAAAAACAATTACAAGCAAGCAACTAAACAACCAGCAACTAGGAGTTGAGAATGGCGAATGAGGTGAGTCAAGTCATGACAGAAACATTTAGTCTTTTCTTCAGAGTTAGTGTGCTAATTTTTCTACTGTGTATTTTGAAATTAGTTTGAAATGTCATGGAATGTTGTTCAGATGTATGTTTTAACTGTTAGCAGTTTGAAATGTTTAGTTAATCTATTAACTAGTGAAATTGAGGAAGTGTTAAGTTTCATGATGCTTGGGCTGTTAGTAGATTTCAGCAGGCTGTTTTCGTATTGTGTATGTCATATGTATGCATTGAATGTCATGACTGATAGCAGCCCTAGGGTAAGATAACAACCAGTGATGCATTGAATTTCATAACTGTATGCATTGAATTTCATAACAATTACCAATTCCAAATGACAGTTGCCAAACACAAACAAGGAGAACAAATTTAACAACATAACCCTATTACCCTAGTGACAGTCACAAATTTAACAACATAACAAGCTTTCCATTTATAAAATAATACTCAACATGAATTCTCTCCCTTGAAATTTCTATGCCAAGACGGATAAGTTCCACCTGGTTCAAGGCATCGTCGAAGAAACCATGCATCATCATACAATCACTCTCGACAATTTTCACATGCTGATAATGCAGGGACATTATAAAATATTACACTTTTATTAAATTAACCCTATTAATATCTTAAAAGTAATGTAGAAAAGATTTGATAGCAACTGGGCATGGATTTGTCGTTCGTCATGAAAAGTTTGCAGACAATTACAAGATATACTCTAGGAGTCACTTTGTCAAAGGGATTGAGCTCACAATATTGCTGATCTGTTATATGATTTATGGATCAGCAACACCTGACTCAGCAGCATATGCTCTTCTGTCATGGTCAATGTGGTTTTTGGTTTGCTCTTGGTTGTTTGCTCATTTCCTTTTCAATCCATCAGGATTTGAGTGGCAGAAGATAGTTGAGGACTGGGATGATTGGACTAAATGGATTAGTAATCGAGGTGGTATTGGTGTTCCTTCAAACAAGAGTTGGGAGTCATGGTGGGATGAGGAACAGGAGCATATGCAGCACACTGGCATTATAAGGCGGATTTGTGAGATTATTCTTTCCATGCGTTTCTTTATCTATCAGTATGGGGTTGTGTATCATCTCAATGTAGCCAGAGGTGATAAGGGTATCATGGTAATTAAGCATGCTAACTTCATTTTATTTAGTGTTGTCATAGTCAAATCCTCCCTCCCCCATAGTTTCCTGACATACATTTTCTCTTCAAGTTTATGCCCTATCCTGGATAGTAATAGTAGTTGTCATGGTTATCTTGAAGGTACGTATACGAGGATCAAAATGTTCATTCTGAATAAAAGCTTTTTTTCTGCATATGCTTGATTATGAATCTATTAACTGGTGGCGTCTGAAATTGCAGATTGTGTCCTTGGGTAGAAAGAGGTTCAGTGCAAATTTCCAGTTGATGTTTCGTCTTCTCAAAGTGTTTCTGTTTATTGGAGCCGTTGTTTGCCTGGCCCTGATGTTTACTCTGCTTAGCCTCACTGTCGGAGACATCTTTGCCAACCTTTTGGCCTTTTTTCCAATAAAATGGGCAATTATACAGGTACTTAAGTATCTTTATTCATTCCCGTAATGCAAATACGAATTAAAATCACTTTTTTTTCTAATGGGCGCGTGGTGTTTTACTATGCAGATAACACAAGCATGCAGGCCATTGGTGAAAGGCGTTGGAATGTGGGGGTCTGTTAAAGCTTTAGCTAGGGGCTATGAATACCTAATGGTAGTGGTTATATTTACACCAGTGGCCATACTGGCATGGTTCCCATTTGTTTCAGAATTCCAAACTAGGCTTCTGTTCAACTAAGCATTCAGCCGAGGACTTCAAATCCAGCGCATTCTGGCCGGTGGCAAGAAACACAAGCAAAACTGAATCAAGCCTTTTCTGCAACGTTCGGCCTGACTTTGTAGGGTATATTTCTATCCTATTAGTCCTAACTCTACCACAACAGCATACAGGTTCAAAAAAAAAAAACTGGTTTGTGCTTGTCAATAGAACAATTCTTGCAACCAGTGCATATAAAATCTTAAATAGTGATGAGAGAAGTATATCATAAGTGTTCTAAGACTGTAACTAATCTCTCCCATCACTCTGATTCTTCTTTGTCCATGTGAAAGCTATAGAATTGAATATCAAATTCTTGCAACACACATATTATAAAAATCACCCTGGTGTAGATTTGACAGCAAAAGCACATATACACCATAGCCAAAATCACCCACCTACATTAATCCAAAACCATGCCCCTAATTCATGAGAATATTATAAAAATACACACAACAAAACATATTAGAAGTATATTTTAGGTCGCACTCTGAGGACCATGCCTCTGGCGCATCAAGAACCATGTTGCTCGCACTCTGAGGAGTAATCACAAGGTGTAGTCACAATGCTCCTATAATTCAATACCCTTTTAGACTTCAAAATATTCAAACTCAAAATTATACTTCTAATAAGAGATTAACTTTTCTATATTAATCAAACAAACAACTGAATAAAAATTAGAGTGTGAATCATTAAACCTAACAACAACACAGACAAAAGCAGGGGATGAATCAAAAAGTTCAATTTAGTTGAGAGCGAGGATTGTGTTAAATCTCAGTTAGGGTTGGAATTAGAAATTCATGAGTTGAATGCAAAACATCATAATCACATAGTTTTTCCCTAAGTGGCTAATTCCATTTTCTTGCATGAAAAACACAACAAAATCTAACCTTAAAATGGAAAATAACACAAACAAATCGATTCTATCTCTGCGTCTTTTCTTTGCTTGACTATGACTCTTGGAAGCACTTGCAGCTCTATCTTCTAAACTTCCTTCAACAGGTAAAGGCCAAGACTGAAACTCACTACATTAAAAAAAAGCAGAAGAAGAATCAGAGACCAATAAACCCATTCAGAAGTATCGATGATCTTGAAGATGAAAACAAAGAGATGATTTCTCAAGGACTATACAAAATCGATTTTGTTTGATTTTAGGGGTTTTTTCTTCTGAAAATGTATTTGGTTTAATTTTAGGGTTCTCTGAAAGGAATTAAGGGGGAAACATGAAAAACAAGGTGGGAAATAGTTAGCCTCGGCTCATCCGTGTCTATCAGATAAAATAAATATATTCGAAAAAAATAAAAAACGTTAGCCTCGGCTGATCCGTGTCTATCAGATAAAATAAATATATTAGAAAAAAATTAAAAACGTTAGCCTCAGCTCATCCATGTCTAATATTTAAAAAAATAGAAAAACTTTAAAATGGGGTTTTTTGCGTTTAAGTAGCCTCGGTATCGTCAAGACTAGTTAGCCTCGGTGTCGGTGGCCGAGGATAAGTTCGCAGCTTAAAATAGTTAGCCTCGGCTAGACCGTGTCTAATATTTTAAAAAAAAATTCAAAAATTAAAAAAAAAATCTAGCCTCGGCCTAGCCGTGTCTAATGAATTAAATAAAAATAATTGTAAAAGAAAAACTTTAAAATGTTTTTTTTTTTTTTGCGTTTGAGTAGCCTCGGTTTTGTCAAGGCTAGTTAGCCTCGGTGTCGGTGGCCGAGACTAAATTCGCAGCTAAAATGAAGTTTTCTAGTAGTGTAAGCATATTTCTTGTCTTGTGTTTATCCATGAGATGTTTTCTCGTGATGTTATGTGCATCTTTGTTATGTATTTTTCATGTTCACCATGCCTAAATCATGTTTATGTCTTGTTCATGTTTATCATTCAATGCATGTTTATGTGATCATTGTTACCCATTCCAAGGGAAGGGCTTGTTGTTGACATCATTGTCACTTGCACTTGCATCTTCACATTTTCTTGTATATATTTCTCCCTTGTAATTTTAAAATTTACTATCCCTTAGGAAGTCTTGTTTAGAATTACTTTTAACTTAGACATCTTCAATTAGGGTTTCCCCTTTACCAACTCAAAACCACTTTCATAAAAAAAACCTTGACCCTTGGTCATTGATCTTTTCAAACTCCTTTCTTAACAAATGCTTCAAAACACTTTAAGCATGTTCAAACATCTTTCATAAGACAAAAAAATACAAACCTCAACTCAAATCTTTTGCCACCTTTGGCTTTTCAATTTAAACCCTTTTCAAAATAAATTAGACATGAATCATCTATGTAGTTGAGATATAAATCTACTACTCCATGAAATTGTTAAGAAAGAGCTTGATTATTTTCCACTTGAGAGAGGTATGTGGCATACTTGTTGATTCTATATCCAAGTTAGGAGCCCTACTCTCGATATGAAGCAAATATCTCTCTTCTACATGTATGTGGTGGTTTAGATGAGTATTCTCCATAGGATGATAACTTGTCTCTTCTTCAATTAAAACCCACCATAACAAATCTGTTTTTTCAATTTATACCCCGAACTACGAGATTTTGATCCTTTTTTGGTACGTAGGCACGAGGCTTTGTGTTTTGCCAAACACAAAAACAATAAAAAAAATTCTCTTCTCATCTCCCCCAATCAATCCCAATTAGCAAACAAACAAATAACACATATTCAACAAGAGGTTCTTATAGAGTACTATAGATACTTAGGGTGTTAATACCTTCCCTTAGTATAACCAACCCCGAACCTTAGATTCTCTTTATTGATTTGTTTTGCATTGCATATTTATAAGTTATTATTTCTTTACCTCTTCCCTTGGATAAATTAAAGATCGGTGGTGATATCTTAAGATTTGTGAAGCTTAGATGAATCAATAGATATGGTCTCTGATTATCACTGAGACAATAAGGAATGGAAAAGGTCTTTTGTAACAGCCCAATTTTAATTAATTAATTGTTCATATTAATTAATTGATTTATTTCGATGATTTTAATTATTGGAATTATTGGTAGATATTTTGAGAGAGAAAATATGATGGAAGGGAAGAATAGA